AAGGGCAGGGCCAGCCTTTGCACCCGCATTGCTCTGGGTTCCCAGCTCAGCTCTGACCTCTGATTCTGGGGTCCCCTGAACCCCAGAGGCTGGCTTGCCTGAGCTGTAAGGTGGAGGTTAGAATACTGACCGTCAAGGTCACTGAAGATGCAGCCAGACAGGGACTTTCCTGGAGCCCAGCAAAGGGATCTCAACCAGCCTGCACATCAGACTTTCTGGGGGACCTTTTAAAAACCACAAAATCCCAGGGCCCTCCCAGACCCCTGGGTGTGCTGCAGAACCCACATCACCAGCAATCTGAATGTGAAGTGGGACTGGAGACCCCCGGAAGCCGGGGCTGTGGAGGTTTGCAACATGCATCGGTCCCCTTCTCCACTCCCACGTGGAGATGTCTGCGTGACACGTGCCTTTCTTCCGGCAAGTCACCTGAAATCCATGCTAGCTAGCATTTATTTATCTGTCCCAACAAATTGTGATTCGTAGCGATACCATCAGTTCCTAATTGAATTAGAATAATGAGGAATGCTAATTGAGTGTTTGCCTTTTGGCAGCTTGGGCGGCTTTGGCCAAACTGCACACTCTCCCTCATTAATTGTGATTTCTCGTGGAAATCTGTGCTGTGCTGTATGGCGGCTGTGGTGCTGCTGGGAACCCACCTCTTCTCTTTTGAAGTTGGAGGTTCCCAGGACCTGGGTAGTCACCTGGTGGAGAGGAGTGCTCACCTGGCCTCTGGAGCACCTGCCATGAGCTCATGAGCTTTCAACAGATTCCCTCCATCACGAGGTTGCCATGGGATGGGGAGCTTGGAGGAACAGAAGCCCTTCCTCTTCCATTGTTAATATGGTGGCACCAAGGATGCTGACCTGCCTGCTTGCGGCCACACAGGGCATGGTGGACACAGTTGTCAATGAAATCCAGCTCCTTTGTGGACTCTACCTCAGGCCTGGAGGTCAGCATCAGGGAGGCCTTGGGATTAGGAGGCCATGATGCCTGCAGGGAGTGACGCCCGGGGAAGCCTGCAAGAGGGTATTCTAAGCAGAGGGAACAGAAGATGCTCCTGCCAGGAGTCCCGGGCCAAGGTGGTGAATTCACATGTCTGAGCCCCTGAAAGTCTGGGGTTCGATAGGGAAGCAGGCAGCCTGGCCCCTGCCTTCATGATGCCTGGGTTCTGACCATTGGACAGTAAACAGGGATTTATAATCCAGTGTTAGGAAGGAGCGCAAGATTCATAATCCAGCATATGAAATAGCACAGGATTCATAATCCAGTGTGTGAAGCAGCTTGCTAAAAATAGGGGCTCTGGGAGCCCATTGGGAAGGGTCTAAATATGGACTTCAAGGATAAAGGGAAGCTTCCTAAAGAAAGCAATGAACGGGCACAGAGTTAGAGGGTGAGAGGGCGGGGGAGGAGGCAAAAAGGGTAGAAGGCAGTTTGGGGGTGGAGGAATTCTAAAGAAATCCTAAAGGGTTTGAGATGGTTGGCGTGGTGTATTCGTATGTGGTGTGGATTTGTGTGTGTGCACGAGTGTTGTGTGTGTGTGTGCTCTCTGAGCTGTGTGTGCGCGTGTGTGTCCCCACACCTGTGTGTGTCAGAGATAACGTAGGCAGGGAGGGCTTGGAATGCCGAGATACACACCTTGAATGTTTCCTGAAGGGGAAAGAAAGCCCTTGAAGGATCCCATCTTTCCAGTTCCATTTTTCAGAAGTACCCACTAGGCAGCAGGACACCTGCAGAGACCAGATCAGAGGTGGGACCGTCCGCTTAGGAAGTTACGACAGTGAAATTTTCCCGTCTGAAATTTCACGCGTTAGACTCTAAATAGCAGAAATTCCTGTGCTCACAGGGACTCACGTGGAGAGAACACAAGTGTGGGTTTGGACTGGAATGTGGGGTCCTGGGAAACACAGACTGTGGGAGCCAAGTGCACTCAGTGCCCCCTGTTTCAGGGCTCAGGGTTGGGTTCCAGGCATCCGTCCATCCATCACCCACCAGCCCGCGTTTACTGGGTGTCTGCGTGGCCCACATGCTGGGCTGGGCTCCATGGAGAGCTGACCGTAGACCTGGGAGGGTCAGTCCTCCCACACACACACGTGCAGGAGAGTCAGGGTCACAGAGGCGCTTGGCCGAGTCGGTCAGCCGCAGGTGGATGAGGAACAGGGACAGACTGTTTGGTATTCTTTGGTCGCCGTAACAAAGAATCACAGGCTGGTGGCTTAGAGCAGAAGTTGATCTCAGGGTTCTGAAGGCTCGAGGGAGGATGCATGTGTATGCCTCTCTCTTAGGGGGTTGCCAGCAATGCTCGGGGTTCCTCGGTCTCTAGACGTGTCATCTCTCCCAGCTCTGCCTGCACGGTCACATCCCCCTCTCCTCTGGGTCTTCTTGCTTCTTTTCTCTTATTATGAAGACACTGGTTGGATTTAGAGCCCACCCTAATCCAGAGCGATCTCATCTCAAGACTCTTGATTACATCTGCAAAGGCCCTTTATCCTGATAAGGTCACGTTCCCGGGCTCTGGGGGTGAGGACGTGGACATCTCTTGTTGAGAACAGTTGCTCAACCAGTTACTAAGGCTGCCCTTCCCCTCCTCTCTGGTTTTGTTCATTCCATTCTCTGTGCCTCAGCCACCTGCCTGAGATAAAGCCTGGGGGCTGCTCCCAAGTATCCCCACTTCCTTGGTTCTGCAGTGTGGAGGGATCCACTCAACCGCCCCAGCAGGTCAGGAGGAAATGTGACCCCATGGACCTTCAGTCTCATGCCGGTGATTTTACTGCCTGGAAGAACCTCCTTTTGGAGGGGGCATGAAATGTGCTGTTTAAGACATTAAGATTCAGGACATTTATCACTCCCTGATACGCTGGGCACTTCTACTTCCTCAGTCTCCTGTAGTCTCATATCGTTTCCCCCCTCCAGGAGTCCAGGGTGGGCCTGGCTAACTCCGTTCAGACAGAGCCAGAGACGGACTCAGGGAGGCAGAAGCGAAGCGTGAGCTGGAGTTCAGGCTGTCCCCATTGTCTTGCATCTGCCTCAAACATTCATGGCATGTCAGAGCTAAAAGGAGTCCGATTTCCAGCAGAGGAGCAACGTGGTACTCTGGAGAAGACCCCAAGCTCCTGAGATGGGGGTCCGGGCCCATGATCTTATCCCTGGCCTTCTGTCTCGAGTGCCCTGTTCTCAGGGAGGAAGTATGTTGGTGGAAAGTACCTGCTGGGGAGGCAGGGTCTGGGTTTGAGTCCAGAGATGTGAGGAGGGTCTGTAGCCTTCCTGTGCCGCTCTCCCTTTATCTGACAAGCGAGGACCGTAGTAATAGCTAGCTGTACGGGGTTGAATAGTGTCACCCAAAATTCACCTCCTCGTGGAACCTCAGAATGGAGCTTATTTGGAATTGGGTCTTTGCAGATGTAATTAGTTCCGATGAGGTCATACAGGAGTAGAGTGGGCCCTGAATCCAATGACTGGCATCCTTAAGAAGAAGGTGAAATTTGGACACAGAGATGCAGACACACAGAGGGGAGAAGGCCACGAGACAGAGAGGCCAGATCAAAGTGCCTGCTGCAAGCCCAGGGATGCCCAGGGGCTCCGGCTGCCACCAGAAGCCGGAAGGGGCAAGGAAGGACCCTCCCTTGCAGCCTCAGAGGGGCATGGCCCTGCTGACGCCTTGACTTTGGTCCTCTGGCTTCTAGAACTGAGAGACGGTAGGCGTCCTGTGGTAAGCCGCCCAGGCTGTGGCTCTGTGTTATGGTGGCCTGAGGAAGTAAGGCCAATATGTCATCAAGTCTTCGGGAGGACTGGCTAATACAGCCCCTGTTAGCTGTTCACGGTGCACACGAATGTTTCCCACCGCACCGCACTCCTTGCTGCGTGTCCTCGGGCCCCAGGTCCTCCTGTACACTCTTCCGTTTCCCTAGAAGCCTCTTCCTTCCCATCGTTCCATCCTTCTGTGCTCGTGCTCTGGCACAAACTCCTCCAGGGAGCCCTCCCTGATGGCCTGTCCTCCCACCTGCCCCCGCGGCCCCGGCAAGGGGTTCACTCCAGAATCAGACTGCCTGGGTTTGACTCCCTATCCTGACATGTAGGGGCTTGTTGGATGCTGGGCGCACGAATTAGTACGCTCAGGGCTACCACTTCCTGTGCTTGGGGGAAGACGGAAGATTTATTGGAGAGGCCCTCGAGTGGATCGTCAGGGAGAGCATTTGCTCAGCGTCTGGCCCTCAGTAAAGTGCTCGGTACCCAGGAGCTGCCATCATGGCATCACGCTCCGCCCTTGCTCCCCCAGTGCCTGAGATTGGGGATCCCTGGGAGCAGGGTGCAAGGCGAGGACTCGAGTCAGGGCACTGGAGAGGTGAAAACAGCATGGGGAGGTGAGTTGGGAAGTGAGTCAGGGGAGGGGAGGCAGGAAGACTGCCAGTAAAGGGTGTGCCGTCAAGGCGGGTGCCCCGTGGGCCACTTCTCAGACTTACCCCGCGGCACGGGCGAGAGTCCTGGGTAACAGATGCTGCCCTGCCAGCCTTGGTTCTCTGGCATCGCCGGCCTGTTGCCTGGGCAGCAAGTGGGCACTGATGGCAGAGAGAGTCCTTGAGCAGAGAAAAGCCAGGCTAGCAGGCAGGTGTGCGCTCAGGTGGGGAGGGCCAGCGGATACAGTGGGCACCCATGGCATGTGCCTCCGCGCTGCGGACATTGGTGCGTTTGTCTGTTTTCCTCCCGATCTGTGCACCCCTTGAGGGCACGGCTGCCCCTTCCACCTCCTGTACCTGCAGCTCCTTTTCCAGCACTTAGCACACAGCTAATGCTTCGAGTAGGTGTCTGAGGAACAGGTGTATCTGGTCCAACTCCTCGGTTTTACAGGATGCGGAGAGGTTGTGGCATGGCCAGAGCCGCTCTGCTAGCAACTTCTCAGAACAGAGGTTTAAACCCAGAGGTCGAAGTGCAGGGAGGAGCCGCCTTTTTTTTTTTCCTTTTGGTAAATGTTGGCCTGAATGTTCTCCCCTTTGGCTGTTACTCAGGTATGCATCGTGCAGAAGCGAGACACGAAGAAAATGTACGCAATGAAGTACATGAACAAGCAGAAATGCATCGAGAGGGACGAGGTTCGGAACGTGTTCCGGGAACTCCAGATCATGCAGGGGCTGGAGCACCCTTTCTTGGTCAACCTGTGGTGAGTGATTGCATGCTGGGCTCCGGGGGCATCCTCACCGCGGAGCCACGTGCAAAGCCCACTCTGCTGAAAGGGAGCTTCTGCCTGGTAGAGAGAAGTGAAACTTTCTGGATGCAGACACTTTTGAATATTCTGTAGAGTTACGTTCTCTGATGGATCTTTCCTTCATGAAATCTGGAAGCATCTGCTCACTTTTAATTTTAATTCTGTTCTCTTACCTGACGAATCAGAGTTGAAAATAGATTTTGAAGAGAAGGCTTTTGTATTTCTGAGGAAACATGCGGGATGCTATAAGAGAAAGCCAAATAGGAGGGACTTTAGCTTTTTAAAAAATGTCGCCCATAGTGTTGATGGCAAGAAGGCCTCAGGATGGCTGGCCAGTATGGATAGGCTAAATTCCAAGTTCTGAATCTGGCCCATAAGGCAGGCCATGATCCATGTTCTAGAACTTTCTCTGCATCCCATTCCGGCTATTTTCTCTGCTTTAAATTGGCATCCTTGAAATGCCACCTGCTGGCGGTTACCTGCCCCTGTGCCCTTGCAATGACATTTCCTCTCCGTGAAATTTCCACCGGCATCTCCCCTCCACCCCGCGTCGCACCGCACTGTGCTCACTTCCTCTAAGCGAATCCCGCACACTCCTTTCATCCAGCTTAGGAGGCACTTGGGGCAGGAGCCTTCCCTAACCCGCAGGCCAGCTGAGTGCCCCTCACCGTCTCCATCTGCTCTGTGCCTGACCCACCCAGCACAGCCTTTCCCACAGTGATCCCGAACCCAAATCTCTGGGCTTACCAAGGAATCGCTTGCTCCTTGAAGGCAGGGGCTCTCTTGGTTCTTTGTTTCTGGGAGTCTGACACAGTCACAGACATATTAGAGGAGGTACTTGCTCAGTGTTCCCGGAGCTTGGTTTTGTTGAAGGGGACAGAACAGGCTGTTCTAGGAAACACATTCTGGCCGTTTCATTCTGCACCTCAGTTGAGCATCATTAGTGACCCCCCGATGGGAAAGTCTAGTCTAGTGCATATTCCTAATAGGCTACCACCCATTATTTCCATTGCTCTCCATGCTCAGAGGCACCCCGAATAAGGGTGATATACCAAGGCAACATGCGTTGTCCTGCTTGGGAAAACCACAGTATGCCTGGCAGACGCCTCACACCTGGGCGTCTCCGTGGGGACAAGCCTAACTCTGTGTTACAAGCTCGAGCCTGAGAAACAAGTGCAGGTTCTCTGTGTCTCCAGGCAGCAGTCCAAACACTTCGGTGGTTTGTGGGAAATAACCCCTTCCAGGGGACTCCTTAGAGTGGAGCAAGGGGTCTGGATGCACGCCCAGACGCGTGATGCGTGTTGAAGGAGGGGGTTAGGTTGGAGCGGCCCCTCTGAAGGCACCGCCTTTCCATGCTGTTTATGTGCCTAGACACGGGTTAATGTCACACACCCATGATTACGGGACTGCAAGGGGTAAGGGAGGGAGCTCTCTGCAGTTGTTGGGCCCCATGGCATTGTGTCCCCATTGTGAGCAAGAGGGAGTGAACGGCTGCCAGAGTTTGGAGTCACATCTCGAACTGTCACCCATTAATGATGATAATAATGTCCTAGCTGGGCCACCTGGGTGGCTCAGTCGGTGAAAGGTCTGACTCTTGATTTCGGCTCAGGTCATGATCTCAGGGTCGTGAGATCGAGCCCCGTGTCAAGCTCTGCGCTGCGCGTGGAGCCTGCTTGAGATTCTCTCTCTCCCTCTGCCTCTGCCCCTCCCCACCCTCACTCTAAAAAAAAAGAAAACTAATGCTCTGGCTTACTGGCAGGGCTGTTTGGAGAACGAGCTGAGAGGGAGGGATAGGAAGGTATGTTTTCTGTAAATGAAAATATTGCCCACTGTAAGAGGTTATAAGTCCGTGTGTCTGGGACTATGTGATAGACAGATGGACAGTGTCCCTGCTGGCTCTGAGCGAACAGCGGTGAAGTGCCGCTCAGTCCGTTGGTCAGTTGTGAGCACTTCCTTCGCACGCGGTATGGCTCAGGATTTATCCAGCTATGGGGGCAGAAACTTAAACTGGCTTCAGCGCAAAACAATTTCTCGGGTTTTATGGTGAAGAGGTATAGAATTCCTGCGGCTTTGGTCTCTCTGCCTCTCTCTGGCTTTCCCCCTGGGGTTACCGTGGCTCTCGCTGGCTCTGACCTCTGGTAGCCCAACAACCCCAGCAGAGGATGAAGGGCATGGGGGGATGGACCTGGCTCGGATCACATGCCCATTCCCGAAGCAGCGGGGGAGGGGCAGGAGGTGGATCCCACCTGTGTCTCTGGAACCCAGAATGAGGGAGGAGATGGAGACCCGCAGAGGGAGACTGGAGCCTGTTTCTGGGAAACCGTAGCGTGCCTGCTGGGTGGTCGGAGCCCGTCACCTGCTGCAAGGTGAGAGCTGTGGGCTCCCTTCCTCAGAGGAGGAAAGCGGGGCTCAAAGCAGCTCATTGCCTGCCTGAATCAATCGAACTGTGTTTCAAACTCAACACCATCCCACTGTGCCCTGAGGTTTTCAGTTTTGTAGGGAAATGACCTCTAACATTTACTGATAAGTAGCCCTAACTTCCCTAGTCCTCTTAACAGCCTCACTGGTTTCCTAGTGTCATCCTAATATTATTGTCTCCATTATACAGATGGGGTAACTGAGTCCCACTGCGAGTAAGTGGAGGAGATGGGACCGAAGCCAGGCTGTCTGGCATCAGCCCCTCCCCCACAGCTGCCGTGAGAAGGCCCAGCCCTTGCCCCCTGCACGGAGACCCTCCTGCCAGGCCTCTGTTTGGCCATCTCTCTGCCCCTGCTGGAAGGGAGCAGAGTGGGGAATTGCTTGATGGGTTCATAAGAACACCGCTGCTTTGCATTAATTATATGTCAGCTTTTCATCTCATTACAAGGAGGGTGAATTATTGCAGCCTTGGAAATCCTCACCGTGCCTCTTCTGCTTTTTTGCTGACGTGCTCTATAACTGGCAGGGCGAAGGCTGTGCATTGATGATTTGCACGGCAGTTTTGCCTTTGAGGAATGAATGATGTGTGCTCCCAAGCCTGTGATGATCCAAGTTGTCGTCAAGAGCAATACTTTCACCTGTTCTAAAGTGCTGCTGTTTTGCTCTCTAGGGCTTCAGACTCGGGGGACAAAGGGAAAAGGAATGAGAAATCACACCCATAGGAGGGTGAAGGTGGTGCATTAGCAGGAGCCCTGGAGAGGTGGAAGGGGGGGTGAGGAGGGCAGGAGAGAGGTGGGGGAAGAGGAGGGCAGGAGGGAGATGGGGGGTGTTTCAGCACTCGGGCTCTGAGTCTGACCCCCTGGGTTCCCATGGCAGCCCTGCCTCTTAACACTCTGCGAGGCTGCAATGGACTGAACCGAGTACTCACCGCCCCCCAATTCATATATTGATGCCCTATTCCCCAGTGTGACCGTATCTGCGGACTGCCTTCAGGTGGCTATTAAGGTGATATGAGGTCATTAGGGTGGGGCGCCGAACAGAACAGATGGTGGCCTGTGAAGATGAAGAGTGTCTCTCCGCCCCGTGCGGACGCAGCAAGAAGGCTGCTGTCTAGAAGCCAGGAGGAAGCTTCTCACCAGAACCCGGCCACGTGGGCACCCTGAGCTCGGGCTTCCAGTCTGCAGAGCTGTGAGAAAATGAGCTTCTGGGGCTGAAGCCTGCCAGGTCATGGAATATAGAGGCCTCAAGAGCAAATTGATTCTCTTCTTTGCGTCTCAGTTCCCTTCCTTGTAAAATGGGAAAAGAAGGATACTATGCCATACAGCAGCTGGAAGGACCAGACGGGTCCTAGGGAGCAGGTGCCTGCATGGTCTCGGGCAAGAGACGGCCACTGGATGGAGGACCGGAGATAGTGTTGACCATCTTAGCACTGCTCACTCGGGCGGGCCTCCGTCGCTTGCACAACTCACTTAGTCCCCCATTCTCATTTTCAAAACCCGTTTCCGCTTACCGGATTGCCTACATTTACTAGACTAGCTGTTAAAATGTTTCATTTAAAATTGCTCAGGTGCCTCCCCTGCCCGTTTAACCACTGAAGTCACTGTGGAAATGAATACCTGGCAGGAGAGGTTGAGGACAGACAACCTGCAATCATTTCAGACAGTCCTCATAGCCAGTGTGTGTTTCTAGAAGCTTCCCTGAGTAGCGATGGACCGAGTCAAGACACAGATCTCGGCGCACCACTCTGAGCCAAGAAAGAACCACTTAAATTAGAGGTTGTAAGTGCAGAGACTTTGACCAAAGTTAACTGTGTAAGGTGTTTAAATGTGGGGCTGCTCTGACTGAAGGAGGGGGGCAGGAAGGAGTTTGGGGGGAGGGCAGAGACTGGCACCCCCCCCGCCTCCACCCCCCGGGAACCTTTGATGAAGGATAAAAGCCCCGTACAATCCCTAGTTGCTGAGCAGCCTCATTTCCATAAAAGTAATCATCGCTGGCCTTGACTATTGCTACAGCCTCCCACCTGGCATTTTGATATTCAGCCCCCGCTGTCCATCACCACTCTGCCCTACTAGGGTGTCCTAGTCATTTCGGGCTGCCATCCCGGATTCTGATAGATGAGGCGGTGTACACAACAAAGTGTATTTCTCACCGCTCCGGAGGCTGGAAGTGGTGGTCAGGATGCCGGCATGGTAGGGTCTGGTGACCGTCTTCTTGGTGGGCAGGTGGTAGTGTTCCTGCTGGGTCCTCATATGGGGTGAGGGGGAGAAAGCGCTCCTTCTCTCTCTCTCGTTCCTTCCTTTTTTTTTTTTTTAAGATTTTATTTATTTATTTGACAGAGAGAGACAGCAAGAGGGAACACAAGCGGGGGGGCGGTGGGAGAGGGAGAAGCAGGCTTCCTGCTGAGCTGGGAGCCCGATGCGGGGCTCGATCCCAGGACCCTGGGATCACGACCTGAGCCGAAGGCAGACACTTAACAACTGAGCCACCCGGGTGCCCCTCTGTCGTTCCTTCTTAAAGGGGCACTAATCCCATCATGA